TAAGCTTTCAAGGGAGAGACAATGTAAATATTAGGAAAAGCTTATGTAGTAATATTCTCCAAAGTTGACAAAAGTTTGAATAGGTGAAGAGTGTGATAGCCAGTAAAGAAATAACTTGCGAGCCTAAAAGAACTCTGCCAACGATTTCGTTTTTTTTAATACCCTACGATATTGGGATTCTACTGGCTTTTCAACGCAACAGAAATTAATGTCGTTCCTCTTCTAGAACTGGCTTGAGTTGTTGAGATATAATGAGAATCCCGTCAGTTAATTGCGGGCAATCCTCTCTGTACATTTTTTGTCAATACGAGTATGGAACTCACCAGGATGCTAGAAGAGTGTGCGCCGCTTGACAATATCTTAGTACCAATTTTTTGCTTTTTTACAAGCATCACCGCGACCATATCTTCAGAAGTACCATTGCCAGGCAAGGGACGTCATCATATCTTATTGTTCCAGGAGTTGTCTCCACAAATCTCTTCATTTCCTTTGATCTTAGAAATTACCTCTCAATTTTTTTAACTGCCACAGATAGATGTTTCGATTTTGGACGCAGCTCATTCCATTTTTTCAAAGTAAACGATGTTTAACTCTCTGTCCCCACGTAACGCTTTATCCATAACTGAATCATAGTGACAGCGTTCCCGTTCCACGAACAGGAAAGATATCGCTTCCTCGGCGAGTGCCCACAAAATATATCTGTAGAGAGAAAATTATTGGTCTAGCCGAAAGTTCGATTTCTCTCGATGTGGCGCAAACATATCCCTCTTTTGTTGTGTTTAAAGCAAACACTTATGCGAGCGTTAGTTTTAGAAAGACGTTCATTTGCTAAACTAGATTAGCGCAAATGGAGCGGAAGAGGAAACGACTTCATCAGCTTATATTCTACGCGTAAAGTTTCTCGCCGTTTTCTGGCACCACCTCAAGTTCCTAGGTGTTATCTTCCTTAGTCACAGTTGATTTAAAAGGGAATTTATCCATCTGTTTTCCTCATATCCGAGTTCTGTGTGAAACTGATGGCTTTCTTCACGCATATCAAGCTGGGCTCGAAAACAAGTCAAAAAAATGCGCCTTTCTAAATTAAATGATTGCAAATTATTCTCCTTAGGAGGACGAGAAATATTTACCCACTCATGCAAAGCACGACTGGGTAGCCTGCAGTTCATCTGGGGATTTCTGGTAGAGACTGGCCCAATCTTCTTTTTCTTTCGCTTTTTTAAGTTAAGGATGACTTTCTAGATGGTAAGGTCTTCCATGTATTACCTTAGCTCTAGGGACTGGAGCACAAATTCTTGTCATAAATTCGGTCCCGTTGTCAATTTGTCAGTATTTAGTTGGACCGCCCTCGTAGTGTTAAAAATTAATCAACACTGAATCAATTTTGTTGGCTCACTTGGTTTTGGGTCGGAAACTATCAACAACACTTCGAAAAGTAGTCACTGATGACACTAAATAAAGTGATAGTGGCTCTCGTTTTTGGTCATACGATGAATAGTGCAGAGGATTTCGAGCGCTTTTTGTTTGGATACAAAAACGAAAGCTTAGTTTGGAACAAGAATAATTTCGGCATTAGTGTATTCCAAGTAACATGGAACCCTTTCTTCAGAGTCTTGGTTTGCCCTACATCTGGGCTTATTAGAGATGCTCTTGCAAAATAGTTGGTTTCGGTGTTTGAAGAAAAACTGGCACCATACTTTCCAGTCATTAGAACTAACTGCTGATCTCACACTCAATTCAGCACGCACAGAAAACGTACATGTCAAGTAAGATTGACTTCAAGTCTCGCACGCTATTCGGCACGCTCAGGAAACGCATATGCTGGGTAAGATTGCCTCAAGTCTCGCGCTCTTTTCGGCACCCTCAGATAAAACTCATATGCTAGGTACAGTGACTTCAAGTCTGGCACTCTATTTAGCACGCTCAGAAAAACGCATATGTCAAGTACGATTGTCAAAAAACTTACACTCTATTCAACACGCACAGAAGACACACATGTCAAGTAAGACTGACTTCAGTTCTCATACTCTATTCAGCACGCACAGAAAACGCACATATTAAGTACGATTTCCTCAAGTCTCGCCCTCTATTCAGTACGCACAGAAAACGCACATGTTAAGTACAATTGCCTCAAGTCTAACTCTGGATTCACGGCACACACAGAAAACGCACATGTCGAGTTAGGTTGACCTGACGTCTCGCACTCTATTCGGCACGTGCAGAAACGCATATGTCAAGTATGATTGCCTTCAAGTTTTGTGTTCTATTTGGCGCCCATAGAAAAGGCACATGTCTAGTAAGATTGTCTCGCAATCTGTTCGGCTATCACAGAAAACTCACATGTCAAGTAGGAATGATTTGTCTCACTCTATTCGGCGCGCTAAGAAAACGCACATGTTAAAGTTAGATTGACCACAAGTCTACTCGTGCTCTACTCGGCACGCATAAAAACGCACATGTCAAGTGTAAGATTGCCTCAAGTTTCGCGCTCTATTTGGTGTGCATAGAAAACGAACAAAAGGGCACACACAGAAAGTGCGCATGCTAAGTAAGATTGGCCTCCAGTCTCGCACTCTGTTCGGACTTGATTCAGACGATTTGTGGATGTTCTTTCCTATTCAAAACTCTCTCTCTTCCTGGGAAGAATGGATTTCAGTTTCGCAATGGATTGTACACGGGGATATCTGTTACTGTAACAGTACTGTTACTAGTGTTGTTCGTCTGCTTGCCTGACAACTGCGAATTATGAAGCTTGCCTTGCTGACATGACGTTACAAGTTTTGAAGTTCAAATGGTTGAGCTCATACGAACGTTTCTCACTTTGTTTGAGAGAGAAGTTTTGATATCTTTATATTGCGACGTAGCGAGGAATTTTGCAACTTAAGGAACAAGTTACGAGAAGTTCTGTCTGGTAATTGAAAATGTATGTAGATATTTTGATTAACAGCAATCGCAGATCGTTTTTACAAAAGAGCGGGGTTTTCGTAACCCACACTAATACTACCACCGCTGTGCGGTTAGATCGCGGTAGTCTTAAAGTTCTGCCGCTACTGAGATAATTCAGGAATATCAGAAAATATTATTTAGCCGAAACCGATTACATTTTGGAAATGAGAGTAGGGAATTACAGCCAACTAAAGAGATGAACGATGTCTTAGGAAGTGAAAGGGGAAAAAAAAATTGCCAAATGTAATTTAGCCAAGCGGAACTCTTCTCCATCGTTTTACGCAGTCACTGGGTACTTTGATAGCCCTGCCGCGGTCAATTTTTTGGTGAAAAGTCACACTTGATGATTGCTGAAAATTGAAACCAAAAGCTAACGCAGTTCGACGATGCTGTAGATTGCGTGACAAATGTTGAGTAAACGCATGGTTCTGATTTGCATAATCGGTCAAAATTTATGCGTTGTGCTCGATTCGGCATTGATGTCAAATCGGAGCAAAGGACAAATTTGTCATACCTAAAATAGAAGTGAACGCTACTGAAATGGTAGCGATTCGATCAATCAAGGGCTTCCTGTTTGTTCTAATACTTGCTGTTACTTCTACGATCTTCACACCGCTTTTTTTGGGTCCTACACTGATACTATTGTGGCTCAAACCAAGATGGTTTCGTTTCATCAACGACAGTTTAGTCACCGTTTGGCTCGGTTTGCCTGTGGTACGTTACTGTTGTAGAATTCAAACGTGTCATTTCATAGAAACGGTTTGATTTCCCAGTTTGGTGTGGTTTTGGTGTTTTTATATGCATAGAAACTGAAAGATCGAGTGGGATGCAGGAATTAGCTAGATAACGGCGTAATACGTGACTAACTATCTGCGTCGATATATAAACATACTTTAAGATTTTAGGCCGTTAACTAACGGCGTAAAATCTCTCAGTATGTATTTATACCGACTGGGAGAATTTATGCCGTTAGTTAACGGCGTAAAATCTTACAGTGTGTTTATATTCCCAGTGGGTTGCGAAGCTCGGCGGAAATCATGTCGTTACGATATATTTGTCTCACGATCAATCTTAGTACAGACTAAGGGCTTGAATACATGAGCCGGGCAAGCCCAGTTAGCCGAGCTGGCTCGGTTTTTACCGTGATCATGACACTGTTGCTGAACGCAACGAAAATCCGGCATCTTCGTTATTATATGACAATCGAGCTAGCCCGAGCCAGCCCGGCCTGCCGGGATGCTAGTATCGACCTTACATTAATATTCAAGCCCAAACAATATTCACTCCAGTCGCAAAATTCGTTGTCCCGTTTAAAATCACGCTAGAGTAATACGTGCCAAATTTGGGAGTGACACAGGCCTGGAGTGACTATTCTTCGTGCTTAAGGTCGCACAGTCGCGAGTAAAATATTTTTAAAGTTTTAACTTTATAAATTTCTTTTTTTTTGTTGATTTTTTTTATGTATCTCGATGGATGTCACATTGAATTACCAAGGTAATGCTGGGTAAGTTGTTTGTCTTTTATATTTGTTTTTAACTTTAACTTTGGATGTCTGACAACTCTGTACATCGAATTCCCACTTGTAATATGGAAGCTGAAATACTGGAAAAAAGGTGATCTCTTTTGTGTCACGATGTAGCCACTTCCAGTGTGCGAAGTGAGCACATGATGCTGCATCTCATTGTATACAACACGGTGAATCGATACAACCTTAATCCTTTAACTCTCAAGATCTGATTGCTAATTCTCCCCTCTAGCTGCTAGACGTTTCCTTGTAAATAAGTTACAAGAATTTGGTGCTAAATCAAGATAACAACTTCTACCTGATAAGTTTGAATATTCTCATGACCTGTTTGCTGGATGATGTTTAGATATTATGGGGAGAAGTTACATATTCATCACTTCTGGGAGTTAAGGGGTTAATTAAGATATCGTGGGAGACGAGGTGACCCAATGGCTATTGCGGGTCGAGTGGTCTGGGTTCTACACCTGGCCAGGGGATCATGTGATTCAAAAAGTCGTTGTCCGGACGCGAGTTTAGTGGGCATCGCTGTGACATGGTTAGGGGGTTTTTACGCAACAATAAATCCCTTGTTGATTCAACTTGCGAATCTACAGTGTCTCTGGGAAACCGAGCCAAATATTCCTTCACACTCCTTGTCGCTTCATGCGATGGAAATCTCCGCCTGGATGGGCCACTTGGCTCGAGCACAGACTTTACCCACAAACAATATCAGCTGAAACATTGTCTACTTTCTCAACATACAGAGTATATGTTAGACGTGAAAATTATTTTGACTGGTGAAAAACCAGCGAGGTACGAGAATTCCATAATCATCATGAACCACAGATGCCGTTTGGATTGGATGTTCTTCTGGTGCGTGATGGCGCGATCTGGCGAGTTAGCGCTGAGAAATGAGAAGATCATGATGAAAAGAGAATTGAAATATATTCCTGGCCCAGGTGAGTAAATAAATGTCGTGATTATTAGAACTCTTATAAGCCTTTGCCAGTAACTCGTTCCAATTTGTTTTTCTTTTGCAAGAGAGATGCACGCGGGTAAATATAGGAAGAGGGAGAAAGAGGAGTACACTGAGTATTAAAGGGGCTATGTAACATTGTGAGTTTGACTCTTATCGCCGTCAAATCGCTATTGTTCTCCGTAGTAAACGACAAGAAGCAGCGCGCGCTGCTGTTAGAGCCAAATGTTTGGTCACGTACCGTCGTGTAGGATGATTTTTGCTCCAATCGTTTCCTGTGAGTTTCAAAGATACATTTCAAGGCTTCTCTAGTTGAAAACAAAGTCTGCATTATTAGCAAATCAACAGAACACAAACATAATACCTTTATTCGTAGTTATTCTGGAAAGAAATACAACAGTCCAGTACATCACGATCACCGGAAACCAATAGATGTGCTCAATGCGAGTTACATCTTAGACCTTTTGGTGGTCGCATCATTCTAGGTTTGAACAGATGGTATGAAACTCGACGGCAAAGGCTACTAACAGCTTGTTGGTGGCACTAGTCTCTCTGTTCTCAGTGTGCATGGGCAAGTCGTGACGTAGCTCCCTTGATCCCTCGTATCTAAAATGTTTCTACTTATTTTCAGGGTGGGCCATGCAGAATGTGCTCTATATTTTTTTGTATCGACGGTGGGAGAAGGACGAGGGCTACCTGAATTCGTTACTCAGATATTTTGTGAGTTCACCGGATAAATTACATCTTTTTATGTTTCCCGAGGGTACTAACTTCGAAGAGATAACAAAAACCTGGAGTGATAATTATGCCAAGAAGAATGACCTTCCGCTTTACGACTATGTTTTGCATCCTCGCGTGCGTGGATTCACTCACTGCGTAGAAAAACTTCGACAAGGGAATAAAATAGATGCTATTTACGATGTGACGGTGGGTTATTCTGAAAATTATTGCTTCGAGGAACTAGATATAATAAAAGGAAAGATACCAGATGAAATTCACTTTCACATTCAGAGATTTTCCATCGATGAACTGCCGGTTGATTCGCAAGGTCTCGACCATTGGTGCAGCAAACGATGGAGAGAAAAAGAAGAGAGACTATCAACATTTTACAGCCAAGATGAAAAACATTTTACTCCCGTTGTTGAGGAGGAAGCAGTGAGAGTTTTCTACAAGTTTGAGTTAGTTTTTTGGGTGCTTTTAAGTAGTTTCGTTTGTCTTCTTTTGGCCGCGTCGTCAGTGTTGAGATGGTGCTTACTTTTTTTCGGAATTGTGTTTTTTGTTCTAACTCTATGTGGTGGAACAGACAAAATATTTCTGAATGCGCAAACGGCGCCTCTAGATGCTTCTGAAAGCTAACTATTGTACGTTTTTCGATATAGAGGGGTGTCGTGAGAGAACAAATGGTATCAATGAACACTCCTGTGAGCTGCTTGAAATGTGTTTCCTCGCAAGTTGGGTAACAATTTAAAAGTAATTCTTTGTAATTTAAGAAATCATTTCAACAAGTATATTCTCAGCCTAAAGTTGGCACCAAAACTAAGTGAATATTCGGTGCGTTAAAAAATCAAAGAAAGAGAACCCCGATGGTGGCGAAGTGAAAAAATAGTCGAGTCGAATACTGCATGTGCCTACTGATGTAGAAAAATTTTATGGCATTGAAATGAATAAAAGGTTGTATAATGACGCTAGAAGGTATTGTTCCGGAATATTTGTCTCACGTAACAATAATAACAATAATGTAATAAAATATGTGGTTGTTGTTCATCGTAGTGTAAGATAGGAGATGAACTTTATTCGTTTTTCTCATCATGGAGTCACTTGTTGATCGCGAAGTTTCGACTGCAATACTGCTAGTCTTCATCAGGCGATGAGATCGATTGTTTACGCGTCGCTATTTGCAGCACGTTGTTTTGCTGCTATTGGTGCATTTCGATCCACATTATTGTTCCCGTTGTTAGATGGTGTTCCCTCCTAGTTCCGTATTGATCGGCTGTTGTGTTATTTGATTGTGGGTAACCAAGCTTCGTGAATTTCGAGTCCACTATCCTTATTGATGTTGTTGGGGTGAAGTCTTATATGGATAGCCTCTTTAACCCCTACGCGTGTACCAGTGAGGGTCACGATCAATAAACTTAACCTTGCTCCAAATAGGAATATGCTCCGTTTCGTTAACGTGTTCCGAAACCGCAGAGGTACGAGCAAACTGTATGTCTCTATCATGTTTTTTTATCCTTTCACGCATAATAACAATGTATATCATCACATCTATAGTAATATAATAATAATTTTTACGTGGTCAGCTCTTAAGCCTAATTGTTACTGGGATACCTGTGGTAGCCCAGTCATAAAATGCCTTTGTTTTTTTGTCGTCTTTTTTTTTTTTTTTTTTTTTTTTTTTTTTTCCTCCGCCACAAAATGGAAAAATTGCGCAATAGTACCCAGAGGTCATTGGGCCCTCAACACCATGACAACTAACTGTGATCCAATGAGGGCGAAGATGTTCACATGCTGATCACGTGTTATCTTGATGATGATTGACGTTGTCATGCACGGACAGGTCCGGGTCACATGACGAGCACGAGATTTTCTTTTGTCGGTCGTTTTGTATTTCAACGTGTTTGGATTACGATCACCTGAAGCGTTATAGCGCAAACGCTCGAAATACTTACAGACGCATACACAAGTCGTATTGTTCGCGGCCAGTCCACACTAAAAGATGTTATTAAGCAGTAATTTTGGACCGGATTGAGTCGCGAACTGTGTATCCGTTGTAGTTTCTGGTGATTTCTGCCGTTTTAAGCTTGCTTTACCATCACTGTTGTTCACATCATCTACTTTTATTACGTTGGTAAAATCTGTACAGACATCACACAAACCAACTCGCGCACAAAATAAGAAGAGTATATTGAAGGCTTGAAATTATATTACGATCGATTTTCATCAAGAAATGGGCCAGGAATTTTCCACAATAGTGCAAATAATCGTGAAGGCTGATCGAGGAAAAGCGATTGCGTGACGCTCGGTAAGCTATAAGATGACATGTTATTATTTACCAGACGTAAAAACTCTTCAGATTCTCAGTCTGCATTTTGTACCCACTCTGCAGTCTCCAGTCTATATTTTGTATCCGGTTTGCTGTCTGCATTTTGTACTAACAGGTATCTGTGGCACCAATACAGTTTATTTTTGGTTACATTTATTCGCACAACACACATAATCTACCACAAAATACCTGTGTGTGAGGTAATTCGACATTTTCGTTCTTTTCCACGTTAATACTCTTCTTTCCTTTTGTAAGAATGTAGACCACAAGTAATCCACCCACCCTACAAAAATAACTCTTGCATGCATAGCATGCCTATGTTTTGAAATAGGTGTATGCCCTTAGCCAGACTTGAGCTCACTATTTCAGTATACTAATCCGACACCCGTAGTATCACTACACTTGATTCCAAGGATCCAGTACCATCCAGGTATCCCAGTTACCCTGATCACAGGGTCTAGTTCCCTCATCCTTTAGGTTCAAACAATGATTACCTATGTTTCTCTTAATTTCGCCTGTTTACTATAAATAATTTCTTATTTTATTACAAATCAATATTTTAGACTTTTGTTTCTTACAAAAAGGCATTCCGTGTCATAAGATATTCCACTATTCCGCTGATCCACCGTTCCAGCGTTCTACCGTCCCACCGTTCCTCCGTTCCATCATTCTATTGAATTACTCATGGCATTCGTTTCCTTGCAGATATCTCAAGATACACCGTATTTCGAAGCTTAATTGGCGGCTCTTTTCGGCATAAGTCGGTGATTCAAACGATAAAATGCTCTCTTTTTAAAGAAAGCGTCAATGATTTATAGATCACATCTGTTGAGCTATTTCTGCCACTGAGGAAAAGGTTTGATTTAAATTATGCGTCGGTGGATGCCACTGTGAAATTTCATTTGAGATGTTTACCGTCTTTTGTGGTGTCACGGTAAGAACTGAAAAGACTGTATCTTCGGATCTACATAACTCGCTGATTTAAACGGTAAAATGCACTCTCTTTATAGAAAAATTAAAAAAAATTCCACTAAGTTTCACGATCTGCCGATCACACCTATTAAGATATTTCTGCTTGGAAAACGTTTGTTTTTAGTCGCGTGCAATCCTGAAATGATTGTGGGGTGTTGTCGTCCTCTTCTGTCTTCCGCAGTGTCACGGCAAGAACTGAAAACATAATGCACTGGTGGCTTTAAGCCAGAAATCACAAAGGAGAGAACTCAACTGTGTATCGAGTGCGAATGTCGAAATATTAAGATACTCCGAAAAAAAAAATCGGGTCAAATTGGGTTAAAATCAGAATTCTATTGTTACACTCACTCACTCTCTCATCTCGACGACATATGTGGCTCCGTCTTCTGTAGGAGGCAGTAGCCACAAAAAACGAGAGAGGCCTGTGTTGGGTTGCGTAATGTCAACATGGAAACATACTTTTCATGAATTACCATAAAAGTAAGATACACAAAAGTGTCAAAATGACTTTTAGCCTTTTTTTTTGTGCTTTTTCCTTAATTGTCTTTTTTAATGCTTGCCCTCAAAGAAAATCATTGGACCGGTAAAGTACTATGTTATCATCAGAAATGTTTCTTTTTAGAGCTTAGATGGTTTTCCATAAGTTATGGAAATTTCAGCAGGTCATTTTTAGCAATGATACCGTGTTTTGTTGATATCAAGCCGCAAACATAACCGTTGCAATACGCTTTAATATTCGCCGCGCAGTTGCGTGCACGCAGATCGCGCATTATGTCACGTTTAATTTTATTCATCAAAACTCAAAGGTATCAAGTTATTGAAATCAGTTGCTTTTGTAACGCTGCCGGTGCCGATTGAATTGAAACTCTGCATTGGTTTACTTCTCAACGGGCGCCAGCAGGATTGGGACCATGGCAACAGTTCAGCGTTTGAAGGGATTCATTTTCCTTGCTTTTCTTTACTACACTGGTTTATTCGGCACCATCGTTATCATGGGCCCGACTTTAATTCTTCTGTGTTTACGGCCGAGGTGGTTTCGCTGGGTTAATGACCACCTCACGGTGTGGTGGCTTGTTCTTCCCCCGGTGAGCACTTACCACAGTAATATCGTTCACAATATTTTCTTCCCTAATTTTTGGGTTTTAATGTTATTAGTATCACTATATTTACTATTATTATCCCACGATGATATTGCTACTGATTTTTTGAAGTTGCATGCAATCAAACGAGACAATTTTCGGCTGGTCGTCGAAACTTAATTCACTGCTCTGTTTTAGTTAAGTTTTGTAGCTTCACTTCCTATGCATTTCGAGCAAAATATTTTGAATAATTCTTCCTTCTCTGTTTCATGTAACTGGCTGTTGTGTGGAATCACGTAGACGTTATTGGGTGAGTTGAGCTAATAATCGTTTTTAGATAGCTATTCACCTGTCTTTCAGCCATCGCGGTACCAATTTTTCGTCGCAGGGCAACCGACTCTTTAAACTTCGTTTACAAAATACAGAGAGTGTACAGCTGTATTTTTCTCAGTGCGGCTGTAAATTAAGCGAGGGCGACAGTCGGTAACAACTGTCGCGACCTATGGCCATTTACAACAGCTTGATCGAAGTTCATAGGTCTTAAGTAAAGGAAAATCCGTAATAATACATACTTAGGCAATCTTCCTCGTCGCCAGAAGATCGCCATCGCATGCCCGAAAACTTATTTTGGCGAACCTTCGACGAAACAGCTGTTGAGCTTCAGGGCGTGAGCTTATGCTCTTGCGATTGCCTCGAAACGATTTACATATCAAACATTCAACTCTAAGTTAGCTTTGCTGTTTATTTGTCTTTGTCTTTGGAAAAAAAGGTCAAATGTTTATGTACAATAAGTCTAAGTTAAATTGGTATTTGCTCTAAACATCACTCGCAGTTAAATTGAGTCACCTGTCGACCATACCACGAATTTATTGAGTAAAAATTAACATACTTAGTACAGTGTAAATGACGAGCCACGGGGCTTCTATTGTTCTCTGTGATGATATACAAGTTCAAAGCTTAGTTTTGTCTTGTTTCAATTTGACACCGGAAATAAGTGTTGGCGCGCCAATCATATATTTTCACCACTGAAAACAAAAAGTATGGTTGGGAAGGAACGAAAAAGATTATATTTTTTGGACAATAAACGCTAGTAAGGAAAACTCGCGTCTAGGCTGGTAATAATATTTATGCACGATCAATAAACCTCTTCTTTTTTTTAATAAGAGGTTTTTCAAAATGCCATCACAAACCTAGAAGTAAGAACAATGTAGCAACTTCAACGAGCAAAGAAAGCCATGCAAACGAAATGAGTCAAACTAATGTTTAGAGTCGTTTATTTTGATAAAAGTTTGCGATCTGTTGGGTTAATTTGCATGCTCTGGCTCTCTGAATCTTATAACATCATTCACGATTATTTTGCGCCCTTGATTAAAATGTAAAAAATTATACAACGCATTTCTGTAGGACAATTCGTACCCTAAAATATCATAAGAATGGCGACCTTGGGTAATTGTGAGACACTTGCGTGACCAAGGAAGTCAACTGAGACCTGTTTAATTTTTTTTGTGGTTATATAAGTGCAATTTTTAGCTCAGTGTTCCGGGCGTGGGAAGAAGAGGTTGTTGTGTAATAATTAAAACAGGAGTGTCACGATCCTCATGCCCAAAGTCCAATTATAAAATTCAAGCGGGCGGGAGAAATGGTTCTAATCCAATTTCACGCACAAAATCGAAAAAAAAAACGCGTCACGTGTACATTAAACATTCATTTACGCTTAAAGGATAACCTGGGATCTCCTCGCCTTTATGTAAATTCACGCGCCACGTACAGCGTTTAATTTTGGGCTTAATCACGTGCCAGGTATTAACATATTGCCACCCTCCCGATCTCCTTTGTCTGTAAATTGTTTACGAATAGAAAGATCTCGAGACGGCTATTTGTTGTGCGTCGAAGCGGAACTGGGAAAGTCAACTTTTCCTGCTGTTCCGGAGTGAAAAATAATCTCGAAGCAGGAACAAGAACCCACCAAATGCTCGGAGCCTCGGCCTGCGTGTAGTGTTAAGACCAAGATCTGAATACAGGTTGCAGCCCCCCGAACATCTTTCCGACTTTTCTCTTCGTTACGCTAACATTAATACTCTCTGTTATCTTTACATTTCCCATGGTGCTAACAATCAGGAGCTTCTTCGATTGGTGATCATTTCTTTTATTCTCGTGATCTTTGTAATTATTTCAAGGGTGATATTGAAAGGAGAAATTGGAAGCCAGTCAGTCTAAGGGAATAAAAGATTAATTAATTCGTTTTCTAATCAGCCTCATGAGACTGATTCTTCTACAAAGAATGGTTTGAAATAATATACTGAATAAAACGGACGGATAAGCTCGAGTTAAACGGACAGATCGCCTTCGAGAGTGATCGAGAGAGAGATCGAGAGAGAGATCGAGAGAGAGATCGAGAGAGAGATCGAGAGAGAGATCGAGAGAGAGATCGAGAGAGAGATCGAGAGAGAGATCGAGAGAGAGATCGAGAGAGAGATCGAGAGAGAGATCGAGAGAGAGATCGAGAGAGAGATCGAGAGAGAGATCGAGAGAGAGATCGAGCGAGAGATCGAGAGAGAGATCGAGAGAGAGATCGAGAGAGAGATCAAGAGAGTGATCGAGAGAGAGATCAAGAGAGAGATCGAGAGAGAGATCGAGAGAGAGATCGAGAGAGAGATCGAGAGAGAGATCGAGAGAGAGATCGAGAGAGAGATCGAGAGAGAGATCGAGAGAGAGATCGAGAGAGAGATCGAGAGAGAGATCGAGAGAGAGATCGAGAGAGAGATCGAGAGAGAGATCGTGAGAGAGATCGAGAGAGAGATCGAGAGAGAGATCGAGAGAGAGATCGAGAGAGAGATCAAGAGAGTGATCGAGAGAGAGATCAAGAGAGAGATCGAGAGAGAGATCGAGAGAGAGAGAGAGGGGTTCCCAGTAATGCAGTGTTGTACAAAGTATAGGGAAGAAATGAAGCTACACTGTTGAAATCATCATGGTAGATGGAAAGGAAGCTCTGAACAGGAAATTGCACAACTAAACTGGTATCTAATGTATAGATACCATGGTGTGGTGACCCCCAACATTCCTTAGTTGTTGCTTGACAATTAAGTTCTAGACTATACTCGAGTTATTGCGCTACATTTAGGTCTAAGGGGGGGGGGGGTTCGCAATTCCCAATGATGGTAAACACGTGCCTTTGAGCAGAGAGTTATTATTCGAGTTTTGTTGTTGTTCGCAAATAAAGAAGATTAACTCTTATCGGTGTTCGTCTATTTTGAACATTAAAATGAGACAGAGAAAAGAAAAGGGGTTCGGCTCTGCTCCAACAGCTATCATCCAACAGCTAGCGTTACTGAAATACTTCACATTTTATATAGGTTGAGCGAGCTTAGAATTAAGAAGAACTGACTCGTCTAAACCTTTTATATAAAATGAGCAGTGGACAAATTGATATTGATGTAAATAACTAATTACAACCCCAGTCTGAAGTTAGAACTTGAGGGAGTCATCTTTATAAATATAGGCAAGATATGGCGACAAAGAACATTTATTTTTGTTCCTTTTTCTTAAGGACCATAAGATTATGGAATAATCTACCCGCGGAAACAGTTGAGTCAAACTCCTTGGCTGTTTTTTACTCCAAGCTACTCCCCTATTTAGTTAACAATCTCTAGACATTATTATTTTTTTATTCTCATAATATATATTATACAGTTATAAAATTTCTATCCGAATTTCTTTATTAATTTTATCTGGGTATTATATATATTTATATCTTTGTATAATAATAGTTGGTGTGATGTCTGTACAGATTTTACCAACTTAATAAACGCAGATGATGATAATATTTGTTCAGAGAGGCTTCCATCGGTATTCCAGAAGAAAAAAAGTTAAAAAAAACGAACAATCAAACAAAAAATGCATAATACTGTGGAAAATTAACACCGATAATAGACATGAACAAAAATGTATCCTTCACGCTTCCTTGGTAACCCACAATCCACTGCGAGCCTTTAATTAGAGCCCGCACACCTCACAATCCAGCTGCAGTCTGTGTCGCCGCACGCTTATACTTGCTCGTGTCACGCTTTCTCGCATTAATACTTTCTTCGCTTTCCCGAATTGTACTAACAGTGTTAAGGATTTTCAAAATGCTGAGAAGCTTCTTTGGAGGTTTAATCTACAATTTGGCTCTCTTTTTTTGTTCATTTTTCGGCTCTCTGTTTCTCATGGGGCCGACAATTCCGCTGTTATGGCTGCGGCCGCAGTGGTTTCGATGGGCAAATGATCGATTGTGTTCGTTATGGCTGATCTTACCGCCGGTGAGGAATATTGGAAAGAAGTTTTTAAATTACTACAGCTCATGAGCATTTTTTTTTATTCAGTTTTTGTTAATCTGAAAACTTTTTTGTCTCTTTTTTTATGAATAACGGATTTGCTGTTTTTTCTTTCGGATCGCAACCCTCCTCAACTTACTTCCACCTTCAACGTCGTGTTTGTGCGTCAAAAGGCCCTTCTGGGTGAGTGTTTCCGCTCAATTACCAGGGTTGATTCAGCTTATAATGGTTTCAGAGAGATATTCCTGTCTAGATATCACTAGAAACAAGTATCATTATTGAATGTCTCATGGTTACATTAAATAATTCATGACAACACGGTTTATTTACATTATTGTTGTACTTTTGTGAGGGGGTGGCGTCCTTTGCGTTATTTCATGAGATGATCAAGTTACTAAAGAAAACAATGATATTGATAAGCATGTAATAAAAATAGGTAAGATTTCTATCTAACCACATACTTCGCTATGTATACAGTTATTTGATAGCAAAAAAAAAAAACAATTGTGAAATTGGGATGGATTCTGACGAGGTTATGCGGACATCTTTTTATCTAGTGTTGCATCTCTATATGTTAATGTGAGAATTTCAGAAAGTAACGTAAGTCAAGGGTAGTATCATGAGGAGATTGCCCAATTACTTAATTTTTAAAATTCAGGGAATGAGACATCACTTAGTGTCTGTGGGAAAACAAAACTGCAGTACTTAGATTTCCATGCTTGGGTATATTTCCTAACGCTGGCTTTTAAAAGACTGAATTTGGACCATTTAGTACATATTGTTATGTCATCAGGAAACAATTGCCAATTGCCAAATGCCACAACATGATGACTTATCAAAACTTGTTACAGTCTAAAACCAAAACTGGCAGAAATAATAATTTGCTCTTTGTTTACTGGTTAGTAAATGCTGTAAAGTCAGTCAACACCCTATGAAGATGAACTAAGTACCACGGAAAGGCGTTTTGGCTTAAGAATTAATAGTACTTCTTGAAGTATGGTAACTATCCCAGTTTGACATGAGGCTCTGAAACTTCTTGCAATTTTTTTGGTTCCATGTTTTGTGACCTGAAATTGGATGATCAGATTTTTTTTTAATCATGACATTGATTATTTTATAGAGGGATTATATTATCAGCCCTTCTTTTGCCCTGTTTTTGACTTAACTCACAATGCTTTTTTTGCTTGAGAAAGGTGTGCTTGGTTTTGTTTTACAGCTGCAATACAAAACAAAGTAGTGAACTGTGAAACATGCAAGTTCCAATTTGTACTCTGAATGTTGTAGTCATATTAATGAACTAGTTATTTTCATTTTTTTTTCACGATTTAGTGTTGCTCTAAATAATTTTTTGTAGTTGCTTGCCAGCCAGCTTTGTTAGACAACTGAATTAGTTTCAAACCTGAATATGTTTTGTGATCAGGAAAGGTTAATGTTTCTAGCACTCTTTTTTCGCTCTAAGACATGTTTTTTATTCACTGTCAAAAACAGGTTGAACAAAAAATTTTCCCTAACTAGTATAACAAGAAAATAAACATTTGGGAATGTGCTGTCCAAGATTCTTGTTAGTTTTCCCAGGATCAATTTATGTCTCCTCGCCACTGATTAAGATATAGTATACCTTCTTTTATGTAAAAGTCAAAAGATCATGAAACTTAAAATGAAAATAAATTTTCCATTAATGGATGTTCTTTGTGATGATATCAACTTACGTATAGCTATACTTGAACTGGTTTGAATTTTAGAAGAAGAAATTTGAGTTAAATCACTGATAATAATATTTTCCTCTCTCAATGCACAGAGATGATGTTTGGAGTCAAGATTGTAGTCACTGGGGACAAGCCTCCAAAGAGTGAGAACTCTGTTATCATCATGAACCACAGATGCCGACTTGATTGGATGTTTTTTTGGAGTTTTGTGGCACGATATGGCGAGTTGAAGCACGAGAAGATAATAATGAAACGTGAACTCAAACATATTCCTGGTCCAGGTAAGTATTTTCATCATTTTGCTACAAATTTTGGTTTCAAGATCAACTTTTTTTTTTAACAAAGTTACCATTAGGGACCTAAAATTATGAAATGGTTGCATTGAATAGAAATTTGGCTGTCAGTAAAGGAATCTTTATGTACTATTATGTGATTTACCATATAGCTGACATTTCTGCTTGTGAGCAGTATGGCTGGCATTTGTTCTTTAACCCTTCAACTCCCATGATTGACTAAGATAGAATTTCTCCGTACAATATCAATACAATATCAAGCAGACAAGTCATGAGAAGAATGAAAAATCTTATTTATGGGATTATTACTTGATCCAATACCAAATTCTCCAAACTAACATCAGAAGATCTATATGGTAGATAGTAAGGAGACTTACTAATGAGATCTTGGGAGTTAAGGGTTAAGGTTCAGGTAACATCTTATGATTTATACTTGGGCTATTGACCCTTAAGCTCCCATGGGTGACCAAGACATAATTTCTCCTCACAATATCAATATAATATCAAGCAGACAGGTCATGAGAATTATAAAAGATGTAAATCAACTAGGGGATAATTAGTTGATTCAATACCAAATTCTCCAAACTAGCATCATAAGAATTTTATTACAGACAGTAGGGCAAATTATCTTGGGTGAGAAAGTGTAGATTGAAAAGGAAAAAAAGAAGTCTGAGAAAAATTCAGCCCTCTACATTTTCTGTTCATTATCAAAAAAGTGTATAAACAAGATTTTTCAAGCAGACATTTTATAATTCTTCTTCGGTTTAGAAAGTACTCTTCAAGAGACAATGGTAATGTTACTTATATTGCTAAGTTGCTGAGTTACATTCAGTAAATTGATTTCAGAAAGGTGATTATACAAACAGCTGAGGAGACACTTCATTTTTTTCTAAATTGGTAAATTCTGGTGTATAGTAGAATTGCCAGGTATTGTTTTAAAAAATTTTGTGCTTATTTTCAGGTTGGGCCATGCAGAATGCCCTTTACATTTTCTTGCGCCGCCGTTGGGATAGAGATGAAAGCTACCTTAATTCAGTTCTCAGTTACTTTGTCAATTCATCAGATAGTCTTCAGCTACTCTTGTTTCCTGAGGGTACCAACTTTGAGGAGGCTAGCAAACAGAAGAGTGATTCCTTTGCAACAAAAAACAATCTTCCCTTTTATGACTATGTTCTACATCCACGTGTACGTGGCTTCACGTACTGTGTTGAGAAACTTCGTCAGGGGAATCTAGATGCTATTCTTGATGTCACCGTTGGTTATTCTGAAAATTACTGTTTTGAAGAAGTTGATCTACTGAAAGGAAATGTACCAAGTGAAATTCATTTTCACATTCAGCGATATACCAATGATGCACTTCCACAAGATACACAAGGTCTTGAAGAATGGTGCTGTAAGCAATGGATGCAGAAAGAGGATAGACTGAAAAAATTTTACACCCAGGAGAAATATTTTGGCCCTCCTTCTGAAATAGCGAGTGAACAACATAATGAGATCCAGTTAGCTGTGAGTTATCTGTTTAAAAAAGGGCTCATCTTCTGGCTTCTGTTCACAATCTGTTCGTCAGTTCTTCTGTACATGTCTGCAATGGTGAGATGGTATGTTTTAATTATTGGAATTGTATATTTAACACTTTCCTGTTTTGGGGGAACAGATGAAATATTTTTACAGCTGATGCAGAAGTCAACGGATACCAAGACAAAGTGAGGCATCTTAAGACATGTATCATGCATCAGATCCTGCTGAGAAGTGGTCAGAGTCATGGTCAATCCTTGGCTGACATGCAAATGGTGCTAGCTCTGGTTGCTGCTATTCAAGTAAAGTTGAATTTCAGACCTGGCAAGTTTGATTTATTTAACATTTCACTCCTAGGTGCTTCATGTCAATTTTCGGCACTGTATATCATACATTTCTTAGAAGCTTTTGAGCTATATGGCTCCCAGAGTATCGTGTGAAATCAAATAGTACTTTTCTTGAGTTGAAATTGCTTTCTTGTTATGACCTTGAAGATTGAAGGTGCATTGATTTTGTAAAAGGAAATGCATATTGGTCACTTGTGGATGTGTAATTGTTAACTCTTTAATTCCCAAGATTTGAATGTTAATTCTCCCCTCTATGCTACACTTATCCCTGTTAATTGGTTACATGAATTTGGTGTTAGATCAAGGTAACAACTTCTACCCGATGATTTGGGTATTCTCATTACCTGTTGGCTGGATAATGTATGGATATTATAGGGAGAAGTTACTTGTTAATCACTTCTGGAAGTTATAGGGTTAAGGGACTGGGTCATGTAAGTTAAGGCAATTTCACCTCATACAAGTTATTGATCGAATTGGCAGAAACTAGAATATATAACAATAACCAATTAATCAAGGTGACTGCTCAGGAAAAAAGTTATCTAACAAACCTTTTTTTTTTTAACTTTCCTTAAGTGTTCCTATCCAATGTTTGTTTTGAAAGAGATATGACAGGCCAAACTCACCCCATTTATGCCTGTACTGGCGCCTATCATGCACATTATTTTATCTGTTCATGGTAAATTTTGCAGCAGCCAGAAGCGAGGGTTTCTAAAGTAACAATTAAAAAAACTTGATAGATAGAAGGTCTTGAGCGCATGAAAAAATCACACAATCACAAACAACATTGATTCAAAACATTCTTCGAGTCATGTCTTTCAAGCTTACAAAAAGTTTGTGTCGTCAAGTAATGTGCTTCACACAGGATTTTAGCTATGTCTTGTTTTCCCTTCAATTAATTTTTTTTTAATTCTTCCAATTTGAAGGGGATAATTTGTACACCAAAATTATGCAATAAAAAATTTAGGTCACCATGTTCATTTGAGAGCTAAAGAACATTGCACCTTTTTACTTGAACCATTGATTGAAAAACAATACCATGTTCTTGGAATGTGGGCAAGCTTATTTGCCTGATTATGTGATTTTTATGAGTATTACAGGATGCACAGTGTAATACTGAGGAATCACCTTAAGCCTGTGATTAAGCTCCCTTGGTCACAGGCTGTTTAGAATGACACAAGAAACTTCAAAAATGCAATAAATTTGCATTGATTGGAAAAAATCTCAAGGAAGGCTGTAGTAGATTACATGCTTTTAAATTCCACATATGGCTATGGCTTTAGTTCTTTTGAAGTTTATTTTATGTTGAATGATAAAATTTATTTATTTATTTAAAGTGCTTGCAAATCATCTATGTCGATGAAGAAGACTTTGTTTCTAATGAAGGACAAAGCGAGTTGCTAATTCAAAGGAATAAAGGGGGTAACTTTCTAAAGAAACTGTGGTCCTGTGTCAGTGGGAGAGTATAACAAGGTAATTTAGTATTATCAAGTGAGTTGATAACATAAATTTGCCACTATAATAGAGTTTAAAAGCTGATATTTCAAGCATTAGCCCTTCATTAGAGGGATGGAAGGGCTAATGCTTGAAACGTCAGCTTTTAATTCTTTAAAGTGGCCAATTTTACATTATCAACTCAGTTGATGATACTAAATTACCCAAGAGAGAATGGCATCATTAAGTTCAAGGCAAACCATTCACTCATTTACTTGACCTTCAAAGTGAGTGGCACTTACGTTATGCAGGATGTCTATTTGCATATAATACTTTCGCAAATATTAATTCTCCAAACAAGAATATCAATTATTCTGTCTTGAAGATAAATAATATTTTTGAAGTGACTTTAATTTGTTACCGAAGTTAGTAGACTCAGCTTGCTTCAGTGGGTAGATCAAGGATAGGGGGTTTTCTTTTGATATAATTTAATTGTGTATCAATGTAACATCTGAGAAACTCAGTAGACCTACTAAAGAGAATGTTGTGGGTGTATGTAGATCATATTTAATACTTGTGACAACAGGACATAGTGCCATGAAATGTAGCAATGTAGACCTGTCATGATAAGTATTCCTTAGTTATGTGCATGTAAATTAGTTTGCATTTGCCTCACTTTGACTGAAAACTCTGGCTGTTGTTTTCAAACATGAAATTCTTGAAAGAGGTCTGTTGTGGAGCTTTTTCTTGACCAATATATGTGGGTTAATCTGGCTGCCCTTATTTTCAACAATTTTTCTGTTTTGTTAAATGCTACAATGGTCATGGTGGGGTAGGTGAGGGAGAAGGGACCACTTAGCTTAGGCTGCTTATTTATCGGAGAAGTGTATGTCAGGGAACCTTATTTTATCTCAGTCATGTAAATGTATCCATCAAACTTTACATCCAACTGCATTCTGAGTTTCTAACTAGTAACTTGACCTTTCAAAGTGAGGACAGTGTCATGACTTAAAAAGTTATTATCATTGATATTTTATTTACCAAGTGGGAAGTTTGTCTGAAAAAAATTGTGCTAGAGGTCCTGAGTATGGCTGAGGTTGAAGGCCCTTTATCATATTTAAGACCAAGGGACTCTACTAATAAATAACTTATTGATTTGCTTCTGATGATTTTCTTTCTTTCTGCAACAATTTCAATTTGCTGTTGCTGGTGCAGATAAAATTCTGGACCATGGTCTGTATTGTAAGGAGCTGGACCAGTTATGAGCATGTAGTGAACCAATCAGATTCAAATATTAAGGGTTCTAGCCAGCTGAGATGCATCAGAAAAAATGATTTTCTTTTAATTCTGCTCTCTTTTCAAGGTAGCAAGCATTCTCTCCTTCCATGTAGATTTTCAATTTAAAGGAACAGTTAATAACACAAAGGGGAAACTTCAGGAGTTCAGCTTTCTCAGAATGTTGTTGGGCCATTCTGACGTCATTACTCCACAAAGAAAAGCCATTTTTCTATTTTCTATTTTCTATTTCTAAAAGTGATAGATAGTCCTATTAAGTCAGAGTACAAGCACAATCAGCCCTTGTTGACTCAGATGTACAAAAGAAGTTATGTTATTTAATTTGAAATCATTACATAAATAACAAGCAAGCTCTTCAATGATTAAAATTTTTTGCATGATTTTGTACCCACATTTAGGAAAGAACTCTGTAATCAGAATGCAGATTACAAATCATTGTTTAAACTTACTTGCAAGCTAAGTGTTAATGTAATATATCTCGTCCTTTTTTTCATTGATACTAATACCCCAAGACAACAGTAATTTTCCACTGTCTGTAGGGAATTATGATTACCTGTATTCTAGTTTAAAAACAGAATGTTCTTGGGAGGCTGAGAGCAGTGTGGACTATGATAGATTAATAGTTGCATGGGTCAGGACTTCTCTCACCCTCAAAACACATAAAAGCAGCAAAACATTTGTGTGTACTTTGTGTTACTTAGTTGATTATGTTAAAATTTATGTACAAAAATCTGAAATTACCTTATTTTAAAAGAAACTATCATGACAATTTGTATATGCTCATTTGTTAAATTTAATTAGTAAGGTATTTCGTTGTACCTAATGGTATCCCCCTCTACGCCCCGTAAGGACATTCATTTGAATGTTTTTCATATGCTATAGCATTGGCAACAATGCATGTCATCTTTTAGAGGAATTATCAAGTTATTAATGCATTTAATGTTGTCTATTTAAAATAAATAACAACCTGTTATTGTGTATAGTAGTTGATACATTGTGATATTTTACCTATTTTTATTTTAATGCAAGAAAAAATAACAGTTTGTCAGAAAGAGTCTAATTGAAACTAGGCCTTGTTAAAATGCGATGATGGTATTCAGTCATTACCTACATTTTTTTTAAAATTTTAAACAGCAGGAAGGGCATGTAGATTAAATTTTTAGACAAAATTTATTTTGTTGAAGGCTAAGACGAAATTTACTGTCTATATTTTTGTTGATTTAATTTTGCGCCATAAAAATGTCCCTTGAAAAGAAAAAATTAAGTTGGAAATAAACATATATTGGAATTTTGAATTGAGTTGGTTTGGTTATTTGAGATAAAAGATCTGATGTCATCTTCTGCAATACAAGAAATTAGGGCAAAGGTAGCATATTTCTGCAAACCTAAGTTCAATTTTTTTGGCAAACCCCCGAATTTGAATTGCTAACCGTCCGCTCTCAGCAAAAGTGTGGGTATTAACTTTGAATGGGAGGTTGTTACAGTTATGAAGATCGTGTGAAAACGGAGTTGATTTTGCGGTTTTCCGTAGCCTTAAGTTCCAACTATCAACCACTCAAAACGTAGCGGCGAAGAAGTTCTTTATCTGTCTATTTATCGACTTATTTAGGTCTATTTATAACTTTTTGGAGCGAGTGAAAGCTGTTGTGTTGGTAAGTTGCTTGCGTTGTTTTCGCGCCTCTTGTTCCCGCCGCTTTGTGACAACCGCGTAAACACGCTATCTGATTGGTTAATTTCAAGACTTGGGGCCTTGTGATTGGTTACAATGTGGGAATTGCTGCAGCCGCGAGTGGAGAGAAGGTAACTTGTGAAAGGCGCTGGTGTTTGTCCGAGTTTTACAATCTAATATATGACTTACTCTGCAGAAACTGCACAAGAGCGCAGTTGCAACTTATTGTGAAGTTTATTTTTCCTTGGCTGAGTGCTCATCTCACTTCGTATGCTCATGTTCCTTTGTAACCGTCTCGTTTAGCTGGTGAAGGGAGACTGCAGATTGACGAATGAACATTAATCGTGCTCAGGAATTCGACAGGGAACGGAAAGATAAGTAACATTTGTTGTTTTTCCTTCCATTATATCGTTTGAAGTTGAAGGCTGTAATGTTTGTATGTTGGTCAT